GACGAGGATCTGTCTGCTGTACCGCTTCACTTCGTTGTTCGACAGGCCGTGCTCCCGCACATGTAGTGCTACACCATTGGCTCCGCAGCGATCCTCACCGTTGGAACTCATCACGCAGCAGGGGCCCAAACAAGCACGCTAAAACGCAAGCAATACCTGCAAACATCCTGAAATCAACGGGGTAATTTACAGTAGCATCGCAAGATGGCTAGGAAGACGGAAAAAGGGGGAAAAAAAAGGGGAAGGGATGGAAGGGAACGAGAACAGGGCGGTAAAGAAGAGAGAAAAAAGTACAAGAAAAGTGTGGAGCTCCAAGCTGCCTCCGTACAGTTTCAGAGACACAAAAAACAATTCAAAGTTCATTTTCAATCATCACATTAAATATCACGGAGGGAGGAACTCGAGTCAGGAGACGGGACATTTGCATAAGACAAAGAATCGAAGGGCAACTGGGCAAGGCGAAGGGGTTTCAGCCCATCAACTTCGTTCTCTTGCTGCTAGCACCTCCTTCCTTTTGCAACAAAAGAGGACGGGGCGAGAGGCGACCAAGGTGCAGACACAATTTGAGGGCAACTTCTATTAGACGATTTTTCAAACGAAATACTAGAGCAAGAGATAAGCGATCAATCGAGGAACTCTGGTGGCTTTAAGGGTTTTGACGTGACGCAAGATTTGGTTCAAAAAGTGAAGGGTACTTGTGTTTCAATGACTGAAGCCGCATATGTCCAGGAAAAGCGCCTCGAATGGGAAAAGGAAACAAAGGAAGCGAAAGAGATATAAGATTAACATAAATTATATAAATTTGTGTTTTTGCAATACCGTGACCTCCTTTGTAATAACGGTGACGCCGTCAATCAACGACACCAACATTAATTATGTATGCAGCTCTTTTTTTAAGCTGGACTCTGCTGGAACGAGGCGGAACTCCAGATAGGCTCAGTAACCGATTTTTCCGGCAAATTTTTATTTCCACCATTTGTTTTCGTATTGACCAGACGCTGTCTACTAACATCAGGACGCCGTCTACCAACATCGCACCTTACCTTCCACCGTTTTCTTATTGTTATTGCTATCGCATAAATATACCTATTATTACCTCTTGTTGACAAGAGCAACTGAGGTCAATTATAATAAGAGTAGGAAACTCCAAAAAATTCAAGGTCGGAAAGAAACTTGTGTTTTCACCACAGCATGCTTCTTGCGCACATACATCCAATCAGGTCATGCACTCTTCCCCCACCCTCCCTACACGACCCCGCCCTTGCCCCGTGGACTTCACCACGCCCCTCCACCCCCCCCCTGCCAACAAGTCGCAGAACACTTCTGACAGTTACTATAACTCGGCCTAGGCCGGTCGGTGCATACGCGGTTTGCTGAAATTTTTTTTCTGGCGATGACGAATGGCGGCAGTTTGAATGTTGTGAGTGAAAAGGCGGGGGATGGGGAGGGGTGTGCTGCGGGTTCCTTTCGGGCCAAGGAAGAAGCTGAGGTAGGTGGATTTAAAAGCTACATGGCGTAGATCCTTTGTCGGTTGCCTATTCACGTACATTTTGAGGGAAGGGAGTGGGGGGTGATGAATGGGAAGGAGAAGTGTGACACTATTTTCTTGCCGCGAATACCCGGAGTGACTCTCAGCTTTACCTAAACATCAGCTTCATAAATGAGGAAATCCTCTACTAACGATGGGTTTCTTTAGGACAATTTCCATTCGTAAAGGTTGTTTTATACTTTTGCTTTTACTTTTTTTAGGCTTTATTTCCTGGGTCCACATCTTTTTTTTCTTTTGATTTTCCTTTTATTCGTGCACCTAGGTTTGCTATAATTTACTTCTGTAATGTTTTGTTTTCGTTCCCTGATTACTGTCAAGTAGTGTGATTCGCCATTTGTTCGAAATTCGTCGACTGGTCGTTTTTTTTTTCTTCCGCAATATCTTTCGTTGGTGTCAAAAAAGCATGCAAGGTATTTCTTCTACTGATTTTACTTATTCTTTCGGCACAAGCAAAAAATAGACAAATATCTCAGGCCTGTATTTCTTCAACGGGCCTGGCATAACTT